GCAGCCTTGGAGAGCCGGCACGGTGGGGCTGCAGTTCACATCAGCCTGGAGGCAGCACCGCCACAGCCACGCTGACGGAACGAAAGGGGCTATATTCGGCACGCTGTGGCAGCACTCAGTTTAGGAAGGCCAGCCCTTTCTCATTCATCGGAGATGGAAGAAGTCTGGTAACACCTTTTCCTACTCACCGATCTTATCCCAAGGCATCAGCTTCCGTGAGAAAGCTTTGGCACGTGACGAAGTGAACTGCAGCTCACGAAAGCTGACGCCTTGGAATGAAATCGGTAAGTTGGAAAAGGTGCCGCCACACTTCTCCTCCTGATTTTGGGCTGCTGTAAACTAGCAGCTCTCTCCTGCTAGGATCCCTTCTTGTGGAGATGCTCAGCGGGCGCCTGCCCTAATCTCCTTTGCTCTCCTCCGTCCCCTGTTCCTAGGCCGCCTCAGCCGCGGGTCTTCAGCGCGGGACTGCAAAGCCATCGCGGTGAGGAGCACCCAGAACCTCCCCAGCACCAGCGCCGCAGCGGCCCTGACCACCCGCTCCCTCAGCAGCAGCAGCCTGCAGACCAGGCCCTGGCGGTAGCCAGCGCCTTTCCCACCGAATAAAAGAGAGCCCGTTTCCTGGGCCCCTTTGACCAGACAGGCCAGGCCTTCTTTTGCTTTTAGGAAGGTAGCATGCATGGGGCAGGGGGGTGGGGCAGGGGGGGTGGGCCACTAGCTGGAAAGTAAGTTTCTGGAAGCTGCTCCAGCTGCAGCTTGGGTCGGGGCATCGCGTCTTTCCCCTCCCAAAAGTAAAGGAGAAAAGGTATGTTTTAACTCTGCTGGCAACCAAGAACACATCTGGAGAGAGATGCAGACAAAGGATGACTGGACTGGACTTGGGAAGAATTAGCTGGCGAGTGGGAAGCCCAGCAGCAAATGCAATGGGACCAGTGCTTGCGTTTAAGCGGCTGGAGAATTTCAGAATGAAGCAGGCAGGGGTTCAGAGGAGACGCCATTTGAGTCTTTCTTGTGGGAGCTTCCCCAGAGTCCTTCCGTGCAGTTCTTGGATGTAACAGAAAAAGAGTAAAACCCACTGCTTCCCAGGCTGGTTGCTTAACTCCAAAGCTAGCTGGGAATTATAAACAGGAGGGGGATCAAGAAAGTCAAGTAAGGCGGCCGTGACTGTGCAACTGAAACCCCACCCCTTTTTTTACATCCATTGCAGACACACACAAAAAGCAGGCAGGGCTTTGATTGCATAGTCGGGTTCCCCATCTTGACTTTTTGACCCCAGTGCCCCTGGACGAAAGAAAGAATAAGATGTGGGGGTGGGGGAGAAATCTTGGGCAATCAGGCATGGAAGAGGGGTTTTGTGGAAGAACATTATTTGGTTTAAACTGTTTTTCAGTAAAACCTCTGCTGTTTCTGAAAGTAAGTGGGGGTGCCAGGAGGCATTGACCCCCATCTTACAGTCTTGCTCTTTGTACTGCTTGATTTTCAAGGAGGGGCCCACCATGGTGATGAAATAGCCCATTCCTCTCACCACCACCCCAGCCCCCATCCTGAGTGATTCCCTGTCACTCTTGCAATGTAGAAAACAGAAAGCCGTTGCACCAGAAAAGGCTGTGGGCTACTTGTGCCACCAGAAGAAGTTCCTGTGTTGCATTGCAGCCCCTATCATCCCCAGCCAGCAGAATGGAGCTGGAGGGTGTCAGGTCAGGAAGGCTGCTGCGGGTGGCCACGGAGGGGCGATGGGGGTGGCTGGGGGAGCATGTGTCTCTGGCGTCCTTGTCCTTTGATGGCCCAGGCTGCTCGGCATGCTGGGAAGAGAGGCACAATCTCGCGGCTGCCCTCTTTTCTGTAGTGGAAGGAGGAGGGGGGGGCTGCAGCCCAGAGCAGCGGGAGATCGCAGGGTGGGCAGGGGAAACAGGCGCTGCTCCCTCACCCCCGGTTGCTTTCCCCCTCTGATGATGGAAGAAGCTGGGCTTCAGAGAGCCCCTCTGAGCTGAATTGCGCAGTCCCTTCCCATCCTGCCTTTCCTCCTCTGACCCTTGCAGCCTTCTGGCATCTGCTGCTGAGTCGTAGGGAGGAAAGAGCCAGAGGACCAGATTGCTTCGTGCATCACCTGGTTTGTC